GTGTATTACAGACAGCGAACCCGCCATCTGATTCAACTTCTTCTCTGTGGCAAGTACGCCCAGTGTTGAGCAGCAGCTTCGCTCCTCTTGACCCCAGCAGCTCTCCCTCATCCTCTTCATCTTCTTCTTCTTCTTCTTCTTCTTCTTCTTCTTCTTCTGTTGCTTTTGGTGCTGGCGTGGCTGTTCCCTGTGGCGGCNTCTTCTTCTTCTTCTTCTTCTTCTTCTTCTGTTGCTTTTGGTGCTGGCGTGGCTGTTCCCTGTGGCGGCCGCGTGACGCTGCAACATATCACCAGCCAGGCGGCGCTGCGGGCAGCAAAGGCGGAGGCGCCGCTGTCTTCTAACTATGAAGTAAAACAAAACTTCTTTTCTTCTTCTTTTGCTTTTGTTTCGTGTTGTTTATATTTCATCTTTTTCCTTTTATCGTTGGGTGTTTCTTTCTCTTTCTTTGTTTTTTTGTTTTGTTCTATTTCGTTTGTATTTCGTCTGTCCTTTTTTTTTCTGATTTTTTATGATTTTGTTTGGTGCGTTTTCTTCGACTTCGTTGTGTTTTTGTTTGTTTCGTAATTAGTTTCTCTCCTCTTCATTTGTTGTTTTGTCTGTTTTTTTATTTGTTTTCCGCTGTGCCCTCCTACATTCCTTATCTTGCGCTCCTTCTCTCGCAGTTTCTTCTTGTTTTCTTCTTAGCTTTCCGTTTGTTATTGTTTTCATTCCTAGACGACCCGTTTCTTCGTCGTTACATTCTTCTCTCTCTGTGTTGTTGTGCTGGTAGTTTATATAGCATAGTGTTGTTTTGTGTTGTATATGCAGGTTAGCGCCTCCTCGGGCTCTGAGGGCCCCGAGTCTGTCTTCATCGTTGAGTGCGCCAACGAGAAAGATGTATGGCGGGCGGGGGCCCCCGTCAAGCTGAAGAACCTTCTCCTGGGCTCAGCTCTGCAGGCGTCCAAGCAGCACGTGTGCGCATCAACAACACACCCTTTCTCTCGTCTTCACTCTGCTGAATTATAGGGCTATAATAAGAGGAATAGTATTTACTGTTTAGTAATATATTCGTCGTAGTAGTAATTTTCAACAATAGCACAGGTAGAAGCTAGGGATAGCCTGACGAGAAGCATCAGCAGTGTCGGTTTGTTTTCTTTCTCTTCTCCTGGCTTGCCTCTTCATCTCTGTTTGTTTTTTTGTCTGCAGTATTCTGTTGCGTGTTTATATATGGATGCTCTCTATCTTTTGTTAGTCGTTGGTGCCTTTGTGCATGCTTGTTTGTTTGTTTTAGTTTCTTCGCCTCCTTTTTTTCCGTTTTCTCTGCTTCATGGTATTTTTTCCTTTTTCTACTGGTTTTCTTTATTTTTGTCTATTTCTGCACAGCTTTTCGTACAACAACTGCGGTCGGGGCTGCCCAATAGCGAGCCATTTGGAGGTTTCTGTGTTGAAGGGTAAGCCTTCGTCTTGGTCGTGGAGCAAACCTGAAGACAGTTGGTTGGCGCAGCCGCATTTGTTGTTCTTATCAGAAGCAGAAACAGCAGAAACGGAGCCCAGAGATGAACTTTAAAGATGCCCCCTTCTTCATCCTCTCCTCCTCTACCTCCTGCTGCAGTGCTGCAGACGACTCAGAATTAACAACAGCAGCACCCGATAAGACGAAGGCCACGGCTGTGTCGGGCTTTGCCTTCGTTGTATTGAAGGCGAAAGACACAGCGGCATCCCTTCCGCAGGAAGAACTGACCTCCTTCATACTGGTGTAGGTCAGAAGCCCATAGGGCTCTTCAGTCGTCTCTGCATTATATAGAAATAAACCAACGGCATCTCAGATGACGGCGTCAGCAGCGTTGGTTGAAATCGTTGTTAAAACTGCGAACCCGCAACAAATAGAAAGAGAAGAAAAGCCGCTGGAACAATCTGCTTCAGACAGATAATAAATGCACTTTGTCCAACACAACAATTTCATCCCCTTTTTTTATTATTAGTACGCGACTACGCTACACTGGTGAATCCCCCCGGGCTCGCTGTGAAGTGGAGTCGCACGCTTTTATGAATGTTCTTTAATAAATTAATTAATTCCTCCACTCAAATACCGCCGCCAACATGAAGAATAAACATTTAACCGACAAATCCAAGTAAACTTCAAATTGTTGAATTGCTGTATCGTCGCTGTTCAACTCTCTCCCAGCAAACCTGCACGCTACACGCAGCTTGAGGTAGACTTGGCCGGTGATAGGGAAGATAAATCTTCAAATGACATGTACAGGACCGTGCAGCTCTAAACGCCCACCTCCAGTCCTTCCGCCGTGGGCGGCCAACGAAGGAACCGTGCTGCAAAACCGCAGAATGTAGAACTTCTTCACCAAGGAAGGGCAATTCAAACTATTTTCTCTTTTATTCATGTCGCTTTCACTGTCTATTCGGACATTTATAAGCAATGCAGCCAGGTCGGTTGTTCGGCATTCCACTGACCAAGTGAGAACCCAGTGAACAGTGGCGTGACTCCTTTTCCTTTTAACCTGCACCGCAGCTAGAAACTACAAAGAATAGTGCTACAACTTGGAACATCTTATGTCTACACCTGAACATTACTGCTATCTGAATGCTGAGCGTAGTACAACGCACAGTAGCAACAGGTTTCAAGAACCTGCTGTTTACGGACGTTTAGACACGTAGTACAGCAACAAACTGAACGCATTCAACAGAGCAATCCAAGTGGACCGCTACGCTGACCTTGCTTATTGGCATATCATCTCTACGTACTAGTACTGCTTAGCAAATTTAGAAGAGCATACACTATAGCCTGTGCTCTTAATTAATTCAAGTGTCTCCAACATCAGGAATACGATGATTCCCCCATTAGGCGGGTTTTAGGGAACGGCACAAAGGAATCTGACCTGCATGTTCTACGTTTTTCTCGATGTTCAGCAGACGGTGCGAAGCATAGACTAAGCCGAAGAGGTTTAAGCCAACCACACTGCATACAATGTCGGGAGAGACGAAACCTTAAACAGAGGGTCCGTTTGTGAGAAATGACAAAGTTAGCCAACTACCCGCCTCCTCTGTTGACTCAGGGCAGCGAACACAATCCGGCTAACCGGTTTCAGCGCGTTTCACCAGAGAAGGAAAAAGAATGCGTGCAAAAGGTTTGCAGAACGCCTTGAAGCATGACATCATGGGTAAAAAAAATTCAAAACGAGAAGACAGCTAAAGCTTTGAGTTGGTGCGCGAGAATAAATGACGCATATGTGTGGCCAGTATACAAGGTATAGTGGGGGCTATTATCCTCATGCATGAGCTCCTCTAAGATTTGCGGATATTGCTTGCGCTTCATTTGGCTGCAATACTGGTAGAATTTTGTGGAGGAACTTGACAAAGCAGTCAACTGTCGTGGTGATGGAGATCCTGCACGGCTCCTCCTCCTCTTCTTCGTCGGGGCACCGGGTAGACCTAGGCGGCTTGGTTGAAGAGCTTGTGGGGTGTGTGGTTGTAGGGTGCGTGGTTGAAGGGTGTGTGGTTGTGGGGCGCGTGGTTGAGGGGTGTGTGGTTGTGGGGCGCGTGGTTGA